CGATAGAGATCTATAGATACACATACTCTGAATCACATTTATAATTAAGAGTCTCATCATAAAAAAATGATAAATTGTATTCTTCAATCCAAAATATTTATTAAATATTATTTTTGATATTTTATTATTTTTATATAGTGATAGAAACTTCAAAAATATCATTTTTATTTCAATAGGATAACTAATTATGCATTTAGAGTAAGCAGTAGTAGTTTTTGTTGCAAGTAATCGTGCACTTTCTCAAGGATTTAATACTATACTTCATCATTTTATTACTTAATTCAGCACATATACTTGCATATATTTAAGTGGGCTTTCATTATTTATATATATAAAAAATCTAAGCACTAATCAACATTGACAGAATATGCATTTATTACACAGTCTGTAACAAAGCCTTGATTGCCTACACACATAAGTCCACTCCATCAAGTTTTTGGCGTCGTTATCGGAGAACTAATTTGCTTATTAAACATTATAACTATATTGTTGAAACAAGTACATATTTAAACCTATTTTTATCTTGTATCTTATTTTTTCTTATTATTTTATTTACTTATTGTTGTGTATCCATTATTGCATACTTTGTAGATTTGGAAAAAAATTATTTGTTATTTGATTCTGAGATAAAAATGACTCTTCCAAAACTTAAAAAAAAAAATAAATAAAAAATTGAAAATGTATGAACCAGTACCAAATCAAGATTAATCTAGACCTCTTAGGGCTTATGCTAACAATGTAGTAGAAAGAATTCATCAGAGTATTAATAGACCTGCCATCCAAGCTAATAATTTTGAATTAAAACCTGTTATAATTCATATGTTTCAAAATTTTTAGTTTAGGGGAACTCCTACCGATTCATAGAAATTTGTATAATATTTAAGTATATTAGTATAACTAATGATGTTATTATGCTTAGATTATTTCCATTTTCTCTAAGAGGCATGACTAAGATATGGTTGAATTCTTTACCCTTAGGCTTTATAACCACTTGGAATAAGTTAACTAATAAATTTTTTGCTAAGTATTTTCCTCATTTAAAGACTGTCAAACTTAGAAATGATATCACATATTTATCCAATTTGAAGGATAATCAATTTATGAAAGTTATGAGAGATTTAAGAAAATATTTAGGAAATACCCTCACCAGGCCTTACCTGATTGGTTGGTTATTCAAACCTTTTATAATGAATTAGTAAGATCTCTCAAAGCAATCTAAAGGCTGCAGCCGGATGATCTTTAATATCAAAGTCATTTGAGGAAGCATATGAGTTAATATAGAAAATGACTAGTAATAATTTGTAATGACATGCTAATAAAGTAAATCTTAAGAAAATAGCTAGAATTTTTGAATTGGATGTATTATTAATTTTAATTGCTCAAGTTGCAATAATTTTGAAGAAACTGAACACAATAGAAAATAATTCAGGATCAATATCTGAATCATCTATACAATAGGAAGATCAAGATTTAAATTCTAATAGAGATAATAGTGTGCAAAAGATTTATCTTTCAATTGGTCAAATAATATTTGTGGTAATAATCAATAAAATTTAAGTCATAATAATCAAGGTAGAATTTGGAACAATAGTTAGGCGCATATTGTTAATCCTAAACCTTCCTATCTTTTAGAATTTAATCAAAATAATCAATTTGGAAATATAATGCCACCTTTTGAAGAGGTAGTGATGTAGTTAAGAACTCAATTACAAAGTCAAGCTACTTCTATTAAAAAATTGAAACTAAATTTGGCAAAATTGTGATTTCAATTAGTAGTAGGCCTCTTGGATCATTGCCAAGCAATACTCAAGTTAATCCAAAGGAGAAAGGGAAAGATTCCAGTGGAATTTACTTGAGTAGTAGTAGTGATGAACATTAGCCAAATTGATAAATCTAGACAAGTCTAGTTGAAGATTATAAACTTAGCACTGTTTGGGAGACAACACATCTTTATGTTTAGCATGTCATATTAATTGTTATAGTTTTCATGTTTTATGTTGCATAATTTGTCCAAAAAAAAAAAAACTCATGCGCCACTGCGGTAGGATCAGCACCGTTGCACTCGTGCGTATCAAACAAACACCATGCTTGTTTAGTTATAAAAAGTTAAGTGTAGTCAACTTCTCTATGAGAATGTATAATCATTTTTTTCTTTGTACTTCTAGAGTTCTTTTATTGCTAGCATAACTAAATAAATTCAGAAATGTAGTTATTAAAGATACAAAGATTTATAATACAGAAATGAAGAGATTACATGGGTGTAAGGTTCTCAATTATGATATTCTCCAGATCAAGATGTTTGACTTTTTTATTTTTGAAAGAAATTTTATCGAGAAAAAATTAAATCTGGATGGACTTGGTAATTTATTGTTATTCAAATTCATTAATATGGTGCATTGAAATTTAGGATTTTTTGTTCATATTTTCAAGGTTAATGGTTATAAATTGAAACCTTATGAATGATGACGATGAGGAGGAAGATGAAGATCCTGATTTTGCTAGTTAGGAGGCTGGAGTGAGTAGAGGGAGAGTGAATGCTACCCTTATTTTGTAGCATATTTTGTTTTCTTTTATTTCTTTTTCATTTGTTTGCTTTAGGGGAGATCCCAATGATGTGATAGTTTAAAATGATTGTAGTTCTTGGTTATGTTTGCTATGACCATAAGAGGCAATGTTATTTTGATGTTATAATAGTGTCATAAGCACAAGTTATAATGTATCATTTGTTTAGTTTTATATATATCATATATATTTTTTAGCCTTTTATCATTCATATGAAAAAACATGTGTCATTAATTGTAGTTCCAATTTGTTAATTTACATTTGATTTAATTTCCCTTAAGCTTACATTGTTACATTATTATCATTAGTATTTGCATTTTTTTATTATTTATGTAATTCGAATAAAAATGATAATAAAAAATTATGTAAAATAAGGATAATAATAAAATCATATTATAGTTTAAATCAAAATTATAATAGATTGAAAAGCTTAATAATTAACTAATTTAAATCATTTAAGCTATTAACTTAGTTTGAATTTCTAAGTTAATAATTATACTGTCCTACCTCGGGTGAAGGTTCTCTTCCTCCGATGATGACATTGTTGCTGTCAGATTGGAAGTTACGACTGGAGATTGTCGAAAAGGTAATGATATTTCTCCCCTTCCGCATGCTTCTTCAGCTAAATCCGTCAAAATATTAGATTTACGAAATTTGGGATTTAGGGCAAAAAAGCTTAAAAATGTCGTGAAGTTGAGCTTAGACTTACCGTGAGATTTAACTTTGCATTTTTGGTGTTTGGCATGATTTAGCTCATATCTTGTCCAACTCTAGCCAAATTCTTGCATCCAAACAAGCTTTTAGGGATGTTTGATATCAGATTTGTGGCAGGATTTTCGTTGAATTTACGATAATCCTGCCAAATAGTTTTCGAGCACACAGTAAATATAAATTCCTCATAAATCCTAGATTTACAGATTTACGGTACAGTAAATCCAGGATTTACCAAATCTTGTCATTCGACAGATTTACGGACTACAAGATTTACAAGCTTAGAGGAAGCGAAGATGGCTACTTAAGCATCGAGCAAGCTCTCATCGTCGCCTCCAATCCAGGTATACAACCTAGGACGGGATCGAAAAAGTTGATCATGCCCCTAAGCACTTGCAAGTTGAAGACTCTCCCTACACTTGAAGGAATCAAATATTATGGGAGGAGCAAACAATCGAGGTAAAAAAAGGCAAGGGGAAGGTTCATGGATTCAACAGCTGCTTGTCCTCTGCCTTCTCTGCCTTTGAATTTGGTCATCTTGATTGGGAAAGGCTTTCTAAGGCCAAGGCACGGTATTTAAAAGCTTTATTTGGTGTGGGTTGAATGGGATGTGTTAAATGGATCCTATTTGAACTCAATTTGTGCATGGGTTGTATCAGGTGGACTACTTAAGCTCATTATAGTTCAATTTGACTCAATTTAGGATAAATCAAATGATTAAATTAAATTGAATCAATTGTTTTGATTGTAATATAATAAGTAATTAATAATTAAGTTAACTTCTAATTTGATAATTAAAAATAATTAAGTTAGCTCATAGTTAACACAAATTAATTCAAAATAAATTAAATTAAATTAAATTTGTAAATGAACCAACAGACTTGAAATCTAAATTGTGTTGTCAAATAAATTTTCAAATTTTATGAGAATTTAACATATATCATACCAATTTATCTAGAATTTACTAAATTTGAATTTAATGGACTTACTAAATCCAATTAAAGTTAAACACTTAAACCCTACTTGTTGCTGGTCAATTTAGATCAACGAGTGGGGTTTGGGTTTAACCAGAGTTTGACCTGGGCATAAACAGGTTGACCCGAACTCGAGCCGTTTAGTTAAACGGATTAGGATTTTCAACCCGGACCCGACCCGTGCAGTTTACTGGGATGACCCGACTTGACCTGCGAAACCTACCTATTTGGCTTTTAAGGCTTTGCTATAGGCGAGGCCAGCCGCCAGCTGGAGAGACCCAGCATTGCAGACGAGGCCAACGCAGCAGGCGAATGCGGCTTGCGGGATTACGAGAGTGACGCGGTGCCGACGAAGTAGGCGTGAAATGAGGCTCGACGTCTCAACTAATGCTCGAGGAGCACCTGTGCGCCCTGTGGGTTTGGACTGACGGACGACATGTTGTCTTGACTAACGCGTGAGAGTCGAAGTCTCGACTAGGATGCGACTCGACGCCTCGTCCATAGTCCAGAGTCCAGACGAGGCCACAGTGTCACGCTCACCGGCTCACGCACTAGATGCGGCACGATAGCAACCCTTTTCCCATGTCAAATCAGGTTAACTTCGGATTCCTGGGTCAACCCAAATCAGACCCGATTTTACAAACGGGTCAAAACTTGAACCCTAACCCAACCCGTATGCTTCGAGTCGGATTTCGATTCGGGTCAGTTTTTGACACCCCCCTAAACTGCCGGACCCGACACCCCCACTAAACTACCCCCTTAGGCTTTCGTGTTAAGCAAACAGCTTCTGGTAGCCGTGTTTTGGTACTTGGAGCCTCACGGGTGATCCGGCTTCACCGCGTCGTCTCCGCTTGCTTCCTTCCTCCATTACCATGTCGACTCGAAGGGCAAGAACCCTAGTACGCACCGACGAGCTTTTCTTCACCCGTGAAAGTACAAAGCTTACCTATTTTAAGCTATCCTTTTGTTACTCCAACGAATCAGAGAATGTATCCATTCTCTAAAATCTGAGTCCCACTCGTTTTGGTTAGAAGCACAGCCTCCCTTATTGACATCTCGCTTTTTTATTATACCGTGCACGCTTTTGGAGAAATTCCGAATCTGCGATGATCTGCAACTTTCAAAGTATTTTTTGTTTGGGCGAGAGTTGGGTTTCTTACTTTCTATTTGCACATCAGAGGCAGTATTTCTCAGTCAAATAGCTAGTGGCGCAGTGAGCTAAGTAAAAGCCGGGATGCATCTACCGGTTACTTCCGGCGACATGGACTACGGTGAGAACGCCCACAGGCAGGAACAAGACCCCGAGGTTCAGAACGACGGTGATGATGGAATGGAGGGGCCACTCAGGTTTGACCTTTATGCGATGATAATATAATTTATCGTTTAGGGTTGCATAGTTTCATGCTGTGCAGTTACTTTCAGTATGAATGGCTTCTGAGCTACGCCGTGTCCGTTTCAGGGACTATAAAGCTTGCACATGAACACCATGCATGCTTTACGGGGATTTAGGAAATGTATGATGTTACTGCAGTGTTATTGTTTGTGTGGGTCTATGCAGTTGTAATCAAGGAAAAGGAAAGTGAACGAGGTCTTGCTAATTTTGTCTGATTTTCCTTACAGAGAAAAATGAACTGGTTATTTTCCATCTTTCCTTGATATCTAAATTATCACACCGATTTGTACAGAATGTTCTTATATTGACACAATAAAAATTAAATAATTAATTTTGGGTTAACCCAAACTCCATGATTTTTTCAAGTCACCAAAGTTAGATCAAATCTGACCCGAATGTTATATTGGCTGACAAGACTCGAATTGTTTATGTTGGGTTCGAGTTCGATTTTCATGTCGGGTCTGATATTAACACCCTAAGCTAGGACAGAGACTACAAAACCATCTCTGAATAGAATCCTTGAAGATTAAAATAACACAACATCCATTTAACATTGAATGGGTATATTGTTAGTGACGATACTGAACATGCAAATCATCCATTATCTTAGCACAACGATGATCAATAGTAACATTTGTTGATGCGAGATTGAGAAGTGCTAGGACTTCTTCAGTACCCATTTATTTTGAGGCCATACATACAACATCTGCCATAATTTTCAGATAATTCTTTGCCACGAAAATTTTTAAAGGAGAATATCTCAAGTTGATGATGAATGCTAGCTTGGCCACAGAAAAAATCATTCAGTAACTTCATTGGTTGCCTTAGTAAACCTAGTGATATAGTCATGAAGTGACTCTCTTGCTTACTATGTGAGAAGATGCCAACGACCTATGGGAATTAGAGAATTAGGTGATATCTTGCTTGTGAAAATCACAAAAAGAATGGATAATGGTAAGATAGAGACTAGAAAGTCATCTTAAAGCAAAATCCTTGAGGGTTAGAAAACAATAACTCAATAACATCAAATAACATCCTTGAATCCAATAGGCTGCTTGACCGGATCAATAAGTCATCGAGATTGTCATTGAGGTGGTCTAAATTTGGGATGAATAGATTCCTGTGATCTTTTAGTAGAGAAAATTGAGGAGAAAGTAGAAGACCATATGTTTGGAGAATTTGGGGATTTATTGCAATGCTTCTTGCTAAGATCATTTCCTTTTGCCAAAACTCTTAGCAAAAACAATTGGTATAGGAACAAGAGCAATATTCATAATAGAAACATTCGATCATGACTAATAGATCAAAGTCTAGATTTTTGCATATAATTTTACAAATTGTACTTGGGTTTTAAAAGTTGAACTTAGAGTTGTAAGATTGAAAATTTAACCATGACGTAATAAGAATCTCCATATTGTTGAGTAGGATGGAGTGTATCCAGGCAAGGTGCATTAAGACTATCGCTCTTGGCTATTTTCCCTTTGCTTAAAGTTCTTAATAATAGGACCCTTGTGATAATCTGATTCTTTGAAAGCCAACGTAGATTACAATATATTTTCTAAGTTCAAAAATCAAGCATAAACAAACTAAGCTCATTCTAGTTAGGGAGAGGTTTAATGATAAATTAACAATTACAACCATACATTTGACATATGCCTTGCCAATTGCAGTGAATTATAAATCACATTACTTTTGGATTAATAAGAAAGAAGAAGACGATCCCACTTTAAGGAAGATTTGAGAGGGTTTAAGATGGCCTGGGATTATTTTGATTGAGCATTGATCACTTTTTTTGCTTAGTAGAATACATTGTACCTAAATTGCCAATGATTAATAAGACAGACATCCAACTGGTGAAGTGATAGGTAACTATGTGGCAGATTGAAGAGGATGAAAATCAATTGTTTGAAGAGGTTTTGGTAGGCATCATTCGGTCCAAGATCATGGGGACACACAATAGTGATGCAAGCAAGGATCATGACAAGTTGCAATTCGTGCTATTTAGAGTAGTGGCAATCATGATTGCAGTTCATCATAAATATTGTGACACATAATGGTGAGTTCAAAATTGATCTGGTACATTAGGATATAAATAAGAGAATTCATGGCCGATGAAAATTCATCAAACTTTTAACGGAAGTTGAGAAGAGAAGTAGAATCTAGTTGGCTTAGGATGACTTTAGTTACTTCGAATAGCTATGTTACTTTTAGTTCTTCTCCTCATTTCTAATATTTAGACACTATTTTTTTCTATCAATTTAATCAGTTAAATTTCTTCTATTTATTATTCATGTCCAACTAATAAATTCTTTATTCAATTACCTCACCTTCAATACATGTCACTTTTGCAACGCCTCTTATATGATCATTCCTTAATTTTTTGTTCATAGTTTTGTCAAAGATTCATATTAACATTATTATTTCTTTCACTCTCAAAATATCTATAAATAGCTTTTTATTGCCAAACATTCAGTTATACTAAATTGCTCAGCCCAATTGTAGTTTTATAAAATTGATTTTTAAGTCTGTATGATATTTCTTATTGCATAATACTCTTGTGAAACTTCTCCATTTTAACTACTTAGCATTAACTCTAGTAGTTATATTTTCATTTATGTCCCCTTTCTTATGTATAATGGGCTAAATATACTTTATCTAAATGACTTTGGTAATACGTTATATTCTAATAATATGACTTCATGATTAGTATTTAATGCTCATATTCTTTATTAATTTAATGGCTTAATTTTCATGATCTAACTTTGATGTTACTTTGATGTTTTCTTTTCGTGAGGTGAGGTGTGAGCCTCAAGGTACTTTGAGGTATTGGCCTCAAAGCCATTAAATTAATAAAGAATATGAAAAAAAATTAACATCAAAGTAAGATTATAAGAAGTCTAAATAAAATCATAAAAAGTTAAATGAGCATTAAATACTAATCATGAAGTCTAAGATAAACTATTCAACTTAAATAAGAAGTCTAAAATAGGTAAGTCTCTCTCACTTTCAATTCAACATAAACAAGAAATCTAATATCATAAATTATGAATTCAAAAGTCTCCCCTACTTACATCACTGTGAGCTACAAAAATCCTTGCCCTGGCCTCCCCACAACCCCTTTCTTTTTCTTCTAGTTATCATGGAGAGTTATAACAAGTAGGTTATGAGGTAAATTTTCTTATGACATATTGGGTTTTAAATAAGAGACTACCCAAAGATTTCTCCCTCATTTTGCGAGGACTTTATGATATGAGTTTTGGTTTCCTATAGGCGCAAACCCCTATAGTTAATTGTCACTCTCGATAGCGAGAGAGAACTTTCTATGAGCTAGTCATCAAACAGATACAGAGTATCTGGCGTATAGTAGCAGCATCTATAGGTGTTTAGAATTTGATATTTAAAATTAGAAATTTACCACCTTGCACTTAAAGGGAATGGTGAGGGGAATGATGATGAACCCAACCACAATCCCATGGCTTAGTTGTCCCGGGTCATCATGGTCCCTAGTCTACTTACTCAGAGGAAGTAGTCTACCCGACCTAACAGAAGGATCCTTGTCGGCAACCATTAGTAACTTGTTGACCTAAAGTGAATATTTGTCTAAGGGGACAAATTTGAATCCACCTTAGCTGACAAAGGGCTTTGTGCTCTATCAGTTATATTCTATTGATTCATTGCTCAATGATTTGAAATCATTGGGGAACATACGTGCTATGACCATGAACGTAATTTAATGGTGCTTTTTGGCGATAAAACCATCTAATCAGAGGGTCCCGATCATAATTGTTTACATATGGTGCCATTTAGCGTCAAAACCATCAGTGTGGTGCCATTTAGCGGCGAAACCATCAGTGTGGTGCCATTTGACGGTGAAACCATCATTTAGAATATACGTGCCCTGTCTTTACTATCAAGAGACAGATTGATAATGAATCATAGTGATATTCTCGACTAAACATTAGCTCTTTGTGAGGTGAAGTGACTTTTAGTCTATCCACCCCGACAAACTATTTACAGAGGGTCGATGGATATTTTGCTTTAAGTGTTTGACAATTTATTTTAATTTTAAATATTTTAGAATTTTGGTATTTTAGAATTTTAATTTTTTATGGGCATTTGGGAGTCCTTTTAAATATTGAGATTTTTTGCCAACACGGCTATCATCGGGGTTTTCATAGCCACTTTCATTTTATTTATTGAAACTTGTCGACTCTGTCAACTTATCGACAGATGATCAGGTTCGTTGTCGACTTTATGTTTTCATTAATGAATTTCTTTTGTTTTGGACCTTAAAGGCCTAATATTGATGTATAAAATAAATGCTCGAGCCGACGTCGCAACCGTACATTTATTTGACTATTCGAGTCGTGTCGACTCCTATTTATGTAGAAGGATCGAGCTCAAACTTAGGTTCATTTCTTGACCCATGTAGCATCCTCATACATCACATGTGCGTACACGACACGCTCGCCGGGGCTCTTGTGGGTATATATTTTTGCATGCAATTTGTATAATGTGTTTTTATAGTGGCTGTATGCACCCATTACGATGGATGTGTATGATCAATGTGCATATTAGCACATATATCTATATTCCCACTTATATGCTAATGTGCTTATGTGTGCATTTATGTATTTGCATGCATGTATATATTTTGGCATATGCATTTGCATTTTTGCATGAAATGCTTGATATACAATATAGTGGCCTAGCACATTAACATAGCGTGTAATACATTTGTATAACATGTATGCGTAATGTATCTACACATCATTGATTTGTTCGCATGATATATTTGAATGATAATTAGGCACTTGCATGTAGTTTATAATGTATCTGCATGCCAGTAGGGCACATTGTTGTTGCACAATACATTTCACATGTTGAATAGCGTGCATGCATAATGCATTTTGTATGCTGCAATGTTTATATGCACAATACATCTGCATACTGA